AATATCGTGGACATTGGCTTTAAGTTCCAGTCTACAATAGATAATTTAAGCTACGCTTTAAGAAATTGACCAATCACTGTCAAGTATGAGTGGAATACGCAACTGTGATTAGTCAATTTCTTAAGGCTTATGCCCGATTTCTTCACATCCAGTTATGTTGCGGTTAAAGTTAACCAGGAGATAAACTACCAGATCCATGCACGTGATTGGCTAAAACTCGAGATTAACCTCCGGATAATTTTATCGGGAAGTGAAAAAATCGGTCATTAGGGTTACATTTGTAATTTTCACAAGATTCAGAGATACACAAATATATTAATTATTAATTATTCATGTTGACTTTAAATAATCAATTATAAAACTTAGTCGTAAGTTTGGTTGAACAATTGGCACAAATAAAGTCGGATTAACTCAGGTGCGAAGGCATATTTCGTATAAATACAGTCCTTAATAGCTTTCATATATCTCCTTTAAATGGAGTACCATCTCTGTAGTATTTAAGGCAACACCCATACCACGTTGAGAGTACCGGTTCTCGTCTGATCACCGAAGTCAAGCAACGTTGGGCACGGTTAGTACTTGGATGGGTGACCGCTTGGGAACACCGTGTGGCGTTGTCACAATTTTTTTTCTTTTTGCCACATTGAATCTAGTCTAGGATCAAATTCCAACGGGAACTGACAGTAACCACAATATATCGCTGCAGGAGAGTAAGATCGGATGTAAAGCACACTCGAGAAAACGATCTTCAGTTAAGCAAAGGTATTTTGCGGCGAGATGTCGGAGGCGAAGAAGAAAGTACTCATGGTTTGTTTAGGTATTATTAAAAAACTCTATATACTTTGTTTTTATCAATGTAATGCAAAGATATTTTCTAAATGCCACGTGCTGCAGGCAACATTTGTCGTTCGCCGATAGCGGAGGCTGTGTTCGAGAATGAGGTAAACAAGAGGGGTTTGCAAGACCAGTGGGAGGTAGAAAGCGCTGCCGTTATGGGATACCATACAGGTAAAAAGCCGGACACCAGGGCCCGCAGTACGCTACAAGCAAATGGGATCACTAATTATTCCCACAAAGCACGCCCAGTAAGATCTCGTCGTTTTCGATAGTATAGGCAGGCGATTTTTGGCGACTGTTTGATATCACGTACCAAAGTGTACCAGAGTGCACACTCGGCGTCATGAATGCGTTTACATCTGAAGAAAGACGCTAAAGATATCCAATGGGAAGATTTACTTTGATAAAACGAATTTTCCCATCGAAATATATTGAACGGTTCATTTTCAGGTGTAAAAGCATTCGTGACGCCGAGTGTACATCCCAGTGTGAGCACAAGTTGCTTTCATATTGCTAACAAAAATGTTGGCATCTTGCTGTGCCATCTATGTCGTCTATTGTGCTGTTGCTTGCTAGCATTTTATGTCGAAAATGAAACATTTGCATGGTCCAAATATTACACCAGCACTAAGTGCATCGCCAGATGTAATAGATATAACATGTTTATATCTGTTAGAAAGTTGGAAACAATGTATGCTAACTCTTTGTTAACAGTACGTCCATTCAATGTTGTTCTCTCTTTAGCTGTGCATTAATTAACCACGACAATGTGTTAACATTATGCTAGCTGGACTTAAATCACTCAAACATTGAATTCATGTTCCTAGCCAAGAGCTAGCATCAGTTGCTGGCATTTTATTTCCATACTTTGCTTGAGTACGCTGGCTATCTGGGACTCTGGTACACCTTGGTATTGTATGTACCAAACATTCGCCAAAAATCGCCTTATATGTATAATATTAATATAGCAATAAGGATTTTATTTATTGCGATCACTGTAATAATAATTTAGCTTGTCTTTTCTATGCGTGAATAGTTTTATGATCAAATTGTTCTTGCCAGGGAAACTAATAGGATGAATCTCCTTGTAGCTGAATAAATCACGAATGAATAATTATTTAGAAACATCAAAATTATTGTGTTAATGTTATTTATTGTATAGCTAAATACTTTTATTCACGTGCAGATCAAACCATCAGACTTCAATGAATATGACTGGATATTCGGTATGGATCATGACAATATTGAGGATTTGAATAAGCAAAAACCAGAGAATTGCCGTGCAAAGGTGGAGCTCCTAGGAAGTTACGATCCAAGTGGGAACATTATAATACGAGATCCGTATTACGTATGTTTATCTTTTGGCATTTATAAAATCGTAAAAGCGAACTGAAGATCTAAGTATATTAAACTGTTGTCATCATCTTACAGGATTCTAATAGCGCAGAATTTCAGACAGTTTACGACCAATGCTTAGCAAGCGTAACAGCATTTTTGAACAAATATACAAGTTGACTACTTTAAAATATCGCTTCATCTGTACTGCATAAAGAAGACGATTTAGAAAAAAAAACCGTTGAATTTAATGTAAAAGGTTAAACATGTCCAAAAATATTTTTACACTGCAAAGAAATAAATACTTGTCAAGATAATTTATGTCGACAGGTAATCATAAGAAAGAGAGGTAAGAAATGTATAACAGAAAAATGTAAATTGTACGCAAGATAGATTCTTATAATGTATTTTGTTTCGTACGTATCAAAAGATGTCATATACTATAAAATGCAATTATAGTAATAATATACATGTTTCTTCTCTTTCTAAGATACTTTTTTTTTTATATTTCTACAGCAATAGCTATACATCAAAGTGAAAAATTATCGTGTAAAAGATCAATCAAAATTTTTTATTCAATTCTAGCATTATTTTGTGCATAAAAACCAATAAAAAGATTTACTAGCATAAAAAATATATTCGAATGTGTCAGTAAAATAAAGGAATCGGTCGGGGAAGCGTAATTGCGACTTTTAAAGTAAAAAAATTTTTTAATAAAAAATGAGTGAGACCAATTCAGAAGGGTGTAATTTGTTTACCATAATTGTTTTCGTTTTCCTAATATGAATTCAAGTGCATTCCTTTTTTCTGAATTTGATTCTAGCCACATTCTTCTAAAAGAGACAGGTGCCACAGAAATAAAAAGATCTAAAGAGTTTGCAAAATGGAGTTGCGTACTGGCAATGAATGATTAAACTAGTTCACAGGAAATACAAGGAAATTTTCAGATATTTCACTGCATTTGCACAGTTAGATGTCAGTGCATTCTGTGCATTATCTTAAGGACAAATATTACTAGGAATTTTCGAGGTACTTTTATCATTTTGTCACTGACTAGCCAGAAATCAATATGATGCGAAAGAGGAAAGTCCTCATGGTTTGCTTAGGTATCGTAAATTTTCTATTTTTAATTATAAATCGTACATAAACGTGGTGAAATCTCTTTAGTAAATAACAGACTCTGAATTATTTTATGTAAGGTTATAATTTTCTATCTTCTAGAGTCTAGAGTTACGTAATTAAATGCATGTATGTCATACACTAGAAATCCGATGCTTTTCCACGTAAATTTGTGCACATATCAACACATTTATACATTTTGCATATACATACATGGAAAATGTATATATACATATGTGTTCTACCTGTGACTAAATTCATTTAGGAAGGCATCAGTAATTCCTAGTGTACTACATATATGTATATGACATATGTATAACTTGGCAGACTAAAGTGCGTTAAAACCCTCAAGCTTATTCTACAATGGGCGCAAAACGCAAGACGCTAAGTCGCAACGCAAGAAATCGACCAATCACAGTCAACTATGAGAAAATTGATCGACTGTTATTGGCCGATTTCTTGCGGCTTGCGATCTGCTGCGTCTATTGTAGAACCAGCCTTACGGAAAAAACACTCAAGTTTTGAGTGTTAACACTCAAAACTTGAGTGTTTTTTCCGCAAGGGAAGCAGAAGTCTGATTTTTCTTACATTATGTTCTGCATGTAGCTTATGTAACATGTATGCTGTAATCCAGCAAACACAGAACATTACAACAACGTCGCAGCAATTTTACAATATTGCTATAATGTTGCTACAATGTTACAACATTGCCGTAGTGCTGTAATGTTCTGCGTTTGCTGGGAAAGTAAACAATAAAAAGTTAAAACAATAGTGTATTAAATAATGTAAATGTTGTTACTTTCAACGTTTTGTACTAAAATGATATCTAAAGTTATTATATATAATTTTTGCACATTACAAATTAATCCCAAGCATTACTTAAGTGTGTGATCGTACCAGATCGTACCGTTCATACTTAAATCACGTGCCTGTATGCCCTTAAATTTTGGCTTTGCATTGAAATTGTAAGAGAGCCTGTAATGAGAGAAATGCTTGCGTAAATTATAAGAATGTGTTAATTATTGTGCGCTGAATCTGAGAGGTTCTAAAATGTTAAATATAAACTTTGGAGTCTATTTCAAAGTACTTCAACGATGACTTAGGTTGAATTTCAGTTTAAATTAATGTTTTAAATTGATTCTTTTCGCACAGGGAATAGCTGTCGCTCCCCTATGGCAGAAGCGGTGTTCCAGGATCAGGTGCGAAAGATGGATTCGACCGATCTCTGGGAGGTCGAAAGCGCCGCTATTCTGGACTATCACGTAGGCAATGGTCCTGAACCCAGGGCGGTGTCCACACTTCGGAAAGCCGGAATTACGGATTATTCTCATATCGCCAGACAAGTAATCTATAATCCTCGCCTCTTCCCTATGTTTGTCTACCAATTTTACATGATTGTTGGGCCCAAAATATTTTCCGCGATAGGACAGAAACTTGAATTACCAAAAATAATTTCAGATCACCCCCAATGATTTTTACAAATTCGACTGGATATTCGGAATGGACGAGTATAATATCCACTTACTGTACGAGATGCAACCGAAGGATAGTCAAGCGAAGATAGAGCTACTTGGGAAATACGATCCAACTGGAATGACCGTCATAAGAGATCCTTTGTTCGTATGTATCGCGCAAGATAGGCTAATGGTAGAGAACGATCCGTAAACGCTTAACACTGTCTTAATCGTAGACAAGGCAGAGAACAAAAAGTCGTGAAAGGCTATTGCGAGGGGGAAACCGCTGACCAAAATCTTGTACACCAATGCCCACTAATGCCCAGTGGGCATTGGTGTACTTTATCTTATTATCTTCTTTTATTTTATTTATCTTCTTTTATCTTATTTTATCTTATTTTATCTTTATAATGCCCCAGCAAGACGTAATGTCCAAAAAATGCCCTAGTAATGCCCAGTAATGCCGCAAATCTGTACACCACAATGCCCTCAGCGGTTTCCCCCTCGGGCTATTGTATACGACGCTTTTCTCTACCTTGCGGATCGTTCGCTGCCATCAGCCATACTCTAGAAAAGTACAAGTTCTTTAACGAGATGGATTGTATACTTTTGTAATGTAAACTTGATCGACGTATCAGTGAGTTTTACATACCAACAGGATGCTGGTAGTGCCGGATTTGAGAAAGCGTTTCAGCAAGCTCTGAGAAGCGTACGTGCATTTTTGGAAATTAATAAGGTATTTCTCATTTCGTCTTTCTCTTGTATCATTTGTATATAATTTCGAAAGAGACCGAACTTTAGAAATTCTATCTCTAGGAACTGATTTGCTTTAAGATCTCTCTCTAGTATCTTCTTCCAATTGTTGTAGATTTTTATAACTACGTTTTATTTTTTCAGGATAATACGCTTGATAAGCCACAATAAAAATGTTAAAATTTCTATTTCACAGAAATGTTGAGAAAAATAATGATGAATCAGAGATTTTATTTAATTTTTTTATGTATTCTCAGCAGCTTTATCTACCGCAAAGTATTTACAAAAATAAATACTTATTTATGAAATAAAAAACATTGATTTTTCTGAAATCCACTGAAATTTCACTGAACGATAATCTATATACACGATCTTTCATGATTGAAAGTAAAACGCTTTCTCCAAACCGCAGATAAAAACCCAGGGATCGATAGCGATTGTTTCGACAATATAAAAAAATAGTTATATATTTTCTAAATTAGGTATAATAAACGAATGGTAAAGTACAAAGATTTTGTTGATTAAGATTTGACTGTATAAAAAAGCAATATTTGTCTGATTTATCTCTAGGATTTTTAGTTTATAATTTTGTTTGGAAATTATTATAAAACGTGTCTAAAAGAGCAATTTAAATTAAAAAATGGAATTAATTCGAGTTCATTAACAATATTAAGGTCTTTAAAAAGTGGTTTTCACACGCCAAAATTTGATGAAGCAATTATGCTGAAAGGAAGTCTCCATTACTTTCTACATAATGTAGTGCATATCAATGCAAATTAAATGCATGAATGGAGCGGTGCTTCGTGTCTCGTGCCGCGCTTCGAAATGCTCCGTGAGATATTTGCAGATTTTGTTCCGCGAATAAAACCACTTGCATAATTTGCTCCCTCGAATAGAGAAATTTAATTAACATCCACATCTCGCGATGGTGAATGTCAGCTCGAGCGATTAAATTCCTTCCGCTACCTTTGCAACAATCTCACGAGACGTCAGACTGAGATGTGGAGAGAATGAAATTCTAGAAATACGTGTTTCTTATTAAATATAAAATACGATAAAGCGTGCAAACTTGCCAATTCGGTCAAGCTTCTACGTTCTCAAACGTACAATGCATTAATTCAATTGGCAAGATTTAAAAGACAAACATTAATTTTAAAAAATCCTAAAAAGAAATCGCGTGTGCTACCTTTTTGTACTGAGAAATGAAACAGTTTAACAAGTACCAATTATCTGGAGCATTTTATATCGTAAAAACCTTGAATTTCCAATTTTTTCCATTTCTCAAACTCGAGCTTCGTCAAGCTTGTTATGATATAAAATGCTCCAGATAATTGGTACTTGTTAAATGTTATCCTGAAACAGAGAAATCGTGCGGCAATTTAATGGTCGTTATCTAATTCGATGGAAAGTTGGTGAAATCAATACCCGCAAAATTCGATCGCGCTCATTCCGAGCAGCCTCGGAAGGTTCGATTGCAGGCTGCGGGACGTAATTGTGCACATGAAATTGGAGCGCGAACGAATAGGTGGTAATCACATCGATACGTTCACGTTGAGAGATATTACAATGTCACTGATTGTGAGACTGCGTGAGCGATACCGCCAGGGTGTTTTGCATACATGGAGATTAATAGAATACGATTACGCGAGGGAATGTTCACATCGTCAGACGCTATCCTTAGTAGGCGCAATGTTGGGAAATAATGTAAATCTAGTATTCCCAATATTGTGAGATGAACGCCTTTTCTTATTTAGCCAACGTGACTATTTAGTATATTTCTCATTTTCTTCTACTTCTTATTTAGCCAATTGGTCTAATATTGCATCAATATTATAAGAAATAACGTCAGACGTTCTTTTTGCCGCTACGAGGAAAATTCCACGTGGTAGTCGTCACCGCGTGGTGCCGCGCGCTCTGAAGTTAGCCGCGTAGCGTCACAGGTGCATCGTTGGAGTTTCTTTCTCCCCACCGAAGCTCGAATCTCTTCGTCCGCCAGGTTAATTAGTACACCGAAAGTCCTGTCTGTGCGCAATATCGGAATAAATTATTGCGTCATTTAAATCATTCAAATTGGTGCACACACATCTGTTCTGAATTCGATCGTCCCCGTGTCCCGAAATTCGGAACGCGGGGACACGTCACGTTCCGAACGTTTCAGGCACGTGGAGCGCTTCACCCGCACCTCCCTCGCGCGCTAAGTCGAATCTCCTTCCAGCGCGAAGGGAGAAAGCTTGGAAGGTAAGAAGAATCCCTTGCGACCTTTCATCTTCCCCCCTACGCCGTTTTTGCATACCCGGCTTCGCCCTAAGCGCAAGAAACGTGACGCGATGCAGCTACAGGGGGAGCAGG